TAGACCATTGTATCGATAGACTTTCGGTCGACTCCGCCTCGTAACGAATGAAAGAATGAAAGCAGAATTTTCTTTTGTGCCTAATGAGATGGCCAGTGTGCACAAACATCGTGGGAGTCAAATGATGCAATACGATGTCTAAGTATCTTGTCGATGTATTCTTGTTTACCAACATTAATTGACAGTAGATAGAGTATTGATAAATATTTATGGGCTCTACATTATCAACATTTTAAAGTGTAGACTCTAGTAGGCATTGTATTGTACCAATATTTACTACTACAGAAGTGTGCAATATGCGTAGCAGATAATGTCATCATAGTTCAATTCGAATAAGCAATTCGCTTCCTTTCTAGCGCTAACAGCAAGAATTGGTATCAATTGCCTACGTCCGCGATAGCATCCGATTATGACGTATAGATATAATCAAGAAGATAGTGAATTGCTCATACTAACCTACTTCGATTACTTAATGTTAAATTGTATTGTCGTTAAACATTTACTATGTAAGTTTTGATTTATAATTCATCATCATATATAGAGGCATATTTTCTTTCTCATATAATTTATGAAGCTTTAAAAGTGTTACAGTTGTTTGGAGTTTTGAGATGAAATGAAAATATCTTCGACCTTGACTAGCATAGACATTTTTCAATGTATAAATAGCATTTTTGTATGATTTAAGCTGTATTCCACTAATGGAAATGGGTACTATTTACATTAAAAACCTTTGTGTATATCAAATAATTTTATCTTTTATATGCAATGTTAATGAAAAATGAGAGAGTAATTGATTACTTGAAATAATTGTAGCACATTACATAACACATTAATAAGAATATTAACAGCTATTACACGCGTTCAATCAGCCTACGAGGTTACGTAAAATATCGTAACTTTCTTCGCACACGTTAGTCATTTTGTGTTTTTAATATTATTCACGTTAATGAAGTACGGACATTTTTACTTTCACATGCATACTAAAATATATTTTTTCTTGCGTTACTGACGGTTAATTCATAATTATTACATGAAACTTGTTTCTTAATTCATTTAGACGCTATTTAATTATTCTTGATAATTATTTTATTACATCTAATTTATGATTATCAACAGTATTTAGATAATATCATTACTTTTACAAACAAGTTATTAAAAAGTATAATTATTCCTAGCGTAGATATTAATTTGCAAATAAATAAATCTTAAATCGTTGCATAATAAACCCACACATAGTTACTTTAGTAAACTTGGCGACTATAAAAATGTATACAGCCTTGAAATTTATGAATCACATACGAACATAGAGAACGTTTAGAAAAACGTACACATATAAAATAAGTATAAAATAATTACAATGATGTAACGGTCTATTGAACACAAAGCCATAGCCGGTCAACTTGTATGCTATCAAACCGGACTCATAAGTAACTAAAAATGGACTAGTAAACTTAATGAGAATCTTAAATCTATACTATTATAATAAAGCGTAAACACACACTTCTTTGTTGCCTAAGATGTCAGCAATTATAGCATATTTTTGAATAATTCTTTTTTTTATAAAAATCCCTACACCTACGCCACACTTTAGGCTATATATTTCCACGCCATTAAACTTAGGGGGTAAATGTTTTGGCTAAAAACCCTAATGTGGGAAAGAGACCATAAGATGCTGCCAACATCAAGGAAGCAAGATTGCCAAGTTTTGTCATGTCATGTCATTTTTACATTTGCAATTGATAATTTGACACATGAAAACAATTTAATACTTTTTTTGCTGATGAAATCGCACGGGAACAGCTAGTCTACAATCAGCGGTATTTCCTAGTACGAAAGGTTCTTCAAAAAGCGAACGTATCTCTTTCTCAAAGGCAGGCAATTCATCTGCAGTTCTTCTGATTATGCGGATGTCCATGGGACATGACCAGCTAGGTGTTCCCGGAGCTTATTTCCCCCGTTTCTTATAAATAAAAATCATATTAACAAGACTAAGGCTTGGTGTTTCTTGCACTCAGAAACCAAACAAAACTTACAACACACTTAAGTTACAAGAAAAAACGGATAAAGACCATTATCCTCGTAGTTTTAGATAATCTGTGGTAGTTAGCACCTACTGTTATGTTATAAGAGCTTACGAAGATTGTGTACCTTGTTATCTTTAATATGAATGAGGTGTAGTTAGTCTGTGTAAAGTCAGCTTAAGTGAAAAGATAAGGCGTCTTATACCAACAATAACATAGTGCGTTGACCTGTGGCCGCAGCGCCGGCGTTACTGATTGATAACGCGAGGTAAATGGGCCGTGCTGTCAGCCCGAACCATAACAATACCCCACCGATACATACTATTCAATTCGCTAATGCCCCTTTAATTGGTTGAGTGATTCGAAAGTATCCGGTATAAATTGTTTGAATGTACCGATTGAAATTAAAACATGGAAACCGTGAATAAACAGGACGTAAGGATGAGATGCGATAAAAAAGTTGGAAACAAAGAGTAGACCGAGATGAACGATAGAAGGATTTAATAGACGAGGCTAGGGTCCAGTTCGAGTACTTTTTACAATTCAGGATTTTCTAAACACTAACATACATTGGTACTTCGTATTTATTCGCAGATGTACTATAGATTTATTTATTAAGAATTCCTTCTATCCAATCTTAAGTTCATCGCTACGAAATTCCAAAATTCCATACACACCATCTTGACTAAAATATTCAACTGCGAGTTTTTCGCGTGATTCACGCATTTCTTGGAGTTTGCGTGTTTCTTTGAATTAACTATCTCCAGCGGTATTTTCTAACTTATACGAGTTAGGAACGATTTATTATCATGCTTCTAACCGTACATTTCCACTGTCTAAACATTGTTTTAAAGACCTTCAACAATGGAAACCTTCTTGAACGGGTATCGATGGATGATCTGCTTATGTCGTTCAATATTTTTAAAGTAATTACATTGTATTTATTGACACGGACCCACACAATGATATACTCAATGCTTATTATGATTGGACAATGAAAAGACGAAAACAAAAACGCATTCCATACAATGTAAACTTACTACCGAAGCATAAATATAACATGCATAAACGATTAACCCCAAACAAGTCGGTCAAAGATATTATCTTGTTTTACGATAATAAAGTCGAGAAAATTAGCTAATGGTCTCGCATCATTCCAAATTAATTGACAGTTACTTAATTGTAATAAAAATTACTGCACTTAAGTGACAATTTAGATAGTAATAAAAACAATTACTTAACGATTATGAACATATAAATTGGTTTTTAATAATCATAACACAGAGCGTATGTATGACAAAAACTCAATGAGCAATAGGTGAGTAGTCCGCAATGAATCGGCGGAAGTTGCCAGGACGAAGCGATATTGAGCGAGGCGCGTTTTGTAGGGAGTCACACTAACGCGCCATTTCATGTGTAAATATCCTCCAAGTTATGATTTCTTTAAAACTATTTCCTATTAGATATTTGTAAAAAAAAGTAAGTAAAAGGTGCATTTGTTTTGTAGTTTTCACTTCCTTTGGCAATAAAATAAGTAATTGTAATTGTTAGATTCGAAAAAGCATAGGTAATTGTTCTTTAGTTTTTATGTGGTCAGCCAATATTCCGTACATCTGTTACCTACACGGTGAAAGATTAGTAAAAGAGTCTAACAGCTGTTCCAGCTTCCTTTACC